CCCGAGGGTCCTCTCCACCCTCTTCTTTGTCCATCCAAATCCTGATTTTTTTTTTGTTCTAGTCGAGGTCTCACTCTGTTGCCAGGCTGGAGTGCAGTGGCACAATCAAGGCTCATGGCAGCTTCCACCTGCTGGACTCAGGTGATCCTTCCGCCTCAGCCTTCCAAGTAGCTGGAACCACCCAGGCACATGCCACCACGCCCAGCTATTTATTTTATTTTATTTATTTTACAGACAAGGTCTCACCAAGTTGCCCAGGCTGGTCTCGAACCCCTGGGCTCAAGCAATCTTCCTGCCTTAGCCTCCCAAAGTGGTGGGATTACAGGCATAAGACACTGCTGGGATTATAGGCCTCCTATTGATTTTTTGGGAGGCTTTCTCACTTCCCATCCTCCACCCTGGACAGGCCACTTGGGTCCACTATACTCCTTTCTGTTGAGTCCTCAGAACCTACAACCTGTGCTATTTATCAGAGGACTATCTTATTCTGCCTCATTTACTTTCTTGAGAGAGAAATCATTTTAGAAATCATTAAATCTGACTGGGCTCCGTGGCTCAGTCTGTAATCCCAGCGCTTTGGGAGGCTGAGGTGAGTGAATTGCCTGAGCTTGCAGATTCGAGACCCGCCTGGGCAACTTGGCAAGACCCCATCTCTAAATTAAAAAATTAGCCGGGTATGGTAGCGCGCACCTGTAGTTCTGGCTACTTGGAAGGCTGAGGTAGAAGGACTGTCAGAGCCCAGCAGGTCGAGGCTGCGGTGGCCACGAGCATGCCGCTGCCCTTCAGCCTGGGTGGCAGTGAGACTCCAACTCAAAAAAAAAAATCATTAAACCCCTTATAGCTATTGCTGGATGTCTTGGACAAGGTGACTGCTCTGTAAATGTTTGTTGATTGGTTTTATAGTAGGTGCACAATAAAACATGCACACTCTTGTGATATTATAAAATATATATTTGGCCCTCATCCCACTTCCTGACGGCCACCTCCTAAAACCCTCACAGTCGCCAGAGTCATGAGTGTCTTTGGTGTGCTGATGAGATGTCTGGTGGCCGGGGCTCCTGGATAGCTTCAGGATGGGAGCTGGTCGCCTGGGAAGACCCCGGCATGATCAGAGGGTTGGGACTGTCGGTCCTATTCCCAGCCTCTGGGGAAGGGAGAAGGACCTGAAGTTAAGTTGATCACTGATGGCTGTTATTTTACTCAACCATCCCTATGTCACGAAGCTTTCCTAAAAAAACAAAGAGACAGCGGTTGGGAAGATCTGGACCGCAGAACACATGGAGGTTCCTGGCAGGCAGCGTGTCTGGAGAGGGCATGGGAGCTCCCGTCCCGTCGGGCATGCCTTACCCCGGCATCTCTTCATGGTTGCTTATCTGCATCCTTTGTTAGTCAACAGGTAAAGGTAAGGAGAGTGTTTTCCTGAGTTCTGTGAGCCGCATTAGTACTATCAAACCTAAGAAGGGGCTCATGGGAACTCCGATTTCCAGTCCATGGATCAGAAGCATAGGCTGCACCTGGGGCTTGTGAAGGGCATTGGAAATAGGGGAAGGTCTTGCGTGACTCAGCTTCCCACCTGTGGGATCTGACTGTCACTCTAGGTAGAGTCGGAATCAGATCAAACTAGAGGACGCCCAGCACACGTGGTGTGTAGGAAAGCACTGCCCCCGCATCTCTGGACACACAAGTGTTCTGCATTGAGTGACTGTGTGACATTAGTGAAGATGGCAGAAGGAAAAAAAAGGGTTTTTTTTTCCTTGTTGGACCACCTTACAAAAACTTTTACATACCTTAACTCATCAGAGGCTTGTGACAACTTGAGAGGGAATCTTAGTTCATCCTCAGTTTTCAGATGGGGAAACAGACTCAAAAGTTAGGTGGCTTGCTCAAGGTAAAACAGGCAGGTCTCACAATGCCAAAGTACATGCTTGGGTTCAGAGCTTGAGCCTCTGAGTCTGATATGCAGCCTGGGATTTACCGTGCAAGGGACCCTGGGCCCTTTCCTGTTGTCTTGGAGCCTCAGTGTACTTATCTATAGAGTGGGGATAATAATAATAGTATCCATGTTATAGGATGGTTGTATCATATGGTATCATACATGTATCTAGCATGTGATGCTAAATATACACTAGTTAACTGGGTGCAGTGGCTTATGCCTGTAATTCCAGCAATTTAGGAGGCTGAGGCAGGAGGATCGCTTGAGCCCAGGAGTTTGAGGCCAGCCTAGGCAACATAGTAAGACTTTGTCTCTAGAAAAAATAGAAAAATTAGCCTGGGGTGTTAGCTCACCTGCAGTCTCAGTTACTCAGAAGGCTGAGGCAGGAGGATCACCTGACCCTAGAAGGTCAAGGCTGCAGTGAGTTGCACTCCAGCCTAGGCAACAGAGTGAGACCTCGACTCAGTAAACAGAGGGTGCCAAAAAAGTATATACACATTTTGAGAAAGGAAAAAACTATATGCTTTTGCCATTTTCTTTGACTGTCCTGTCACATGGTGATGCTAGCATTCATTTGATTAACACCACGTTGCTACTGCAATTCAATTCAACTTTGAAAAGTAATATATACTGGAGCCCAGCAGGTCGAGGTTGCGGTGGCCGGAGCGGCCACTGCACTCCAGTCGGGATGACAGTGAGACTCCAACTCAAAAAAAGAAAAAAAAAAAAAGTAATATATAGATAACAACTCTTAAAATGTGTATGCATTTTTGACACCCCTGGTATATATATGTATGCCAAAATATCACTATTTTGATAAATCACACCATCTCCTTGGAAATGAACTTGGCCATGAAATGTCCAGTGCTTGGCACACAGTAGACACTTGGCAAGTACCAACTCCCTTCTTTGACCCTTGGACTGAAGGACCACGGGGGTTTTTATCCCCGAGTATTCCCTGGACAATGTTTCTAGCTGTAATCAGGTCATCAACTGAATGATCCGCATGATTCTACCCTGGTGGGATGTGGTGGCTGGCTCTGGGCAGCCTGCCGGAGTGACCAGTGTTTGCTTCTGACTGGAGCTTGCTGGAAGCCGCACAGGTTCATCCGTTATTTACCATGCCCATAATCAGCCGGAGAAACCCAGGCTGGCAGCAGGATGGAGGCTTGTGAGCCAGAAAGGGCAGGGCCATGCGGGCGACCCAGCTCCCCGGGCTCGCAGACAGGGCTGACAAGATGAGGCCACTCGGCCCCTTCTCCAGGGAATGAGTAACAGACACAAGCATACTGGCCAATGGGGAGTAGGGTTAGAGGGAATGTCCTGCGTCATCTTCCCAATGGGAGGCAGGTTTGCTTCCCCCCGCCCCGGCTGCAGGGCACCAGACCAGCCGATCGCTGGAAAACAAGTTTGGGTGCCAGAGCCTTCAGCAGCTTCCAAGACGGCTCTTTCAGAGACAGGTAATGAATCCTCTTGCTTTCGACTGGGAATCACCCTGCTGGGACGCTGGGAGTTTGGGGGTGTGTCTTAACTGGGTCAGGGGACAATGATGGCCAGGTCACTGCCAGGATGCGTCCCCCTTGCTGCTCACCTTCTCCCATGGCCACTGGCTATTCTTAGCCACAGACTGGTTTCCTGCTCCACTTGGTTTATCAGCACTATTTTGAGAGAGTTGTTGGCTGGGGAGGCCAATGTGGAATAGTGAAGTCAGTAAGGTGCTACCTCCTGCCTCCAGGGAACAGGTGCAGGGCTGCACTCTGCAGGCCGGCTCCCCCTGGACTGTCCCAGCCTGGGCCCCTTCCCGTCCTTCCCATGGCCTGCTGAGACCTGCTCCTTTTCAGCTGGCCCTGCCCACTGGACAGCAGTCAGAGTAACACACAGCTGCAAGGACAAGAAGAACACACACCAGACCTCCCTGGGGGCTTTGAGGCCTCGTAGTACAAGAGAAGCAGAGACCACCAACAGCCAGGACCACAGCGTTCACCTTCCCACAGCCCCTGCTGAAGGAGCTGCCCTCCCCTTCCAGAGGAAAGGTGACCCTGTGTGAGGGTGGCCAGGGTTGGCATCATGTGACCCAGCCAACAGCCTGGCTGCTGCTCTTTGGACAGAAAAGGGCAACGGTGCCCAGGGCAGTTTTATGCTCTGGTAGCCCAGGAAGCTGGCCCAGTGCTAGAACTTTCTCTCAGGGTTGGCAATGACCATCTGGGACAATTGCCTTTTCTCTCTTTGGTGTGTAAATCTGAGCCATGCTGAGAGTTAGACAGAGAGCAGTGCAGACGTGAAGAGACCCACAGAGAAGCAGAGGAAAGAGGGAAGCTGCCAATGAAGCAGGGCTCCATAGGGGATGGGGGAGGGTGTTGAGTCCTCAGCAACGCGGGGTGCCAGCCAGGATGTCTGTCTCCTGCATTTCCACTGGGACTCTCAAGGGAGCCCCTGTCACAAGACAGCCTCAGTGCACTTCTCTCATTTATCATCAGGAGCCAATGAGAAATCATCCAGGTCAGGCGCGGTGGCTCACACTTGCGATCCCAGCACTTTTGGGAGGCTAAAGGGGGAGGATTGTTTGAGCCTAGGAGTTCAAGACCAGCCTGGACAACATAGTGAGATTTCGTCTCTACAAAAAAATACAAAAATGAGCCGAGCCTAGTGGCCTGTGTCTGTAGTCCTAGCTACTTGGGTGGCTAAGGTGAAGGATCACCTGAGCCCAGGAGGTCGAGGCTGCAATGAGTTATGATCGTGCCACTGCACTCTAGCCTAGTGACAGAGGGAGATTGACAAAAAAAAGAAAAAGAAAAGAAAAGAAAAAAGGAGGCTTGCCTGAAAGTTCTAAAGGAAAATCTAGTCTGCTCCTACTGTTTGAAGTCCATGGAGACCTTGCTGTCACCCCAATACTGAATGGAAGGAGAACTTAGCGTGGTGTTCTCTCTGTCCCTCAAGAAACACCAGTAGGAAAGGTCTCACTCTGGGAGAGTGAGACTTGAGGTGAGAGCCGTCAGGGCCCACGTTGATCTAGATGGAATAACCCTTAGAACAAGGGGCAGAGACCACGTGTCCCCCTCACAGACCCATGGATGCAGCCCGGGTTGCCGTTGTCGGGGCGGGTGTGATCGGCCTCTCCACCGCTGTGTGCATCTCCAAAGTGGTCTCCAGATGTACCATCACCGTCATCGCCGACAAGTTCACCCCCGACACCACCAGCGATGTGGCAGCTGGAATGCTTATTCCTCATGCTTATCCAGGTGAGAGAGAGAGAGAGCTCAACTCTTTTGTTAGACATGACAGGTGTTGGACAGAGTGATGTCAGTGGAATTCTGTTGACAAAGACAGCTGGCGGTGTGTGTGTGACATGCAGTTTTAATGTCCCGCTGGTCCAGTGGTGCCGCGGTACAAAGGCGACCTCCCATCTCAGCAGCTTAGAAAGCAGAGGTTTGTTCTTGCTCACAGAAGATGTGGATGAGTGTCAGCAAGGGCTCAGCTTGTCACCCAGGGGCCTCCGCTGACAGAGGAGCTGTCATCCTGACTGTCGTAGAGCTGTGCCTGGGGGTACGGGAGCTCCCAGGGTCTCCCCTCTGTGATCACTCTGGACAAGAAGCGACTTTCAACATGTCCAGTGACAGCTCCTTGGCAGGGCTAGTCACATGCCCCTACCCCTCAGCAAAAGGCCAGCGAGTGTGGGTCTAGGAGGTGTCCAGCAGAGAGATAGCAGAAGCAGAGACAGTCGATGAACCGCACTGAGCACTACACAGTTGGTGACTGTAAGCCTTTCCACAGGTACTAGGAATGACCATTAAGTCATGGCCACTAAGTTATGACCTAATGATACTAGTAATGAGCATTAGGTCAGAAATTCCTTGTAATGCAACTAAACATTATCTGAACTTCCAAGCCAGTATCAAAAGAATGAGTCAATATGTACTTAGACCTAAGTACAATGAATTGTGTGTGTGTGTGTGTTGAAGTCTCACTGTGTCGCTCAGGCTGGAGTGCAGTGGCACACTCACGGCCACCGCAGTCTCGACTTGCTAGGCTCAGGTGATCTTCCGCCTCAACCTTCCAAGTAGCTGGAACTACAGGCGTGCACCACCACATCCGGCTAATTTTTTGATTTATTGTAGAGATGAGGTCTCGTCAAGTTGCCCAGACTGGTCTTGAACATGTCGGCTCAGGCGATCCTCTTGCCTCAGCCTCCCAAAATGCTGGGATTATAGGCGTGAGCCACCACACCTGGCCGATGCACTCATTTTTGAACATGTCCATGCACCCTTTAAATTCTGCATTCTCTCTAAATGGGAGGAGGGCGACAGCACGAAATAGAGACCCCTGCCACTTGGTCGCAAATGAGGTTATATTGTGTTTCTGCTGTCCCATTTCCACACCCTTTTGTCTCTTTAATTTCAGTTTGTATTTGTTATCAAAGTTATATATGTACATAGTTTAATGGTTTATGACATTGGTTATAAAACCCAGAAATCTGGACTATTCAAGCTGTCCTGTCCCTTTTATTTATTTATTTATTGTAATTTTTAATTTTTTTTTTGAGTCTGAATCTCACTCTATCGCCCAGACTGGAGTGCAGTGGCCGCTCCCGGTCACCATAGCCTCGACCCGCTGGGCTCCGGCGATCCTTCCGCCTCAGCCTTCCAATTAGCTGGAACCACAGGCATGCGTCACCATGCCCGGCTACTTTTTAAAAAATTTATTGTAGAGATGAGGTGTCCCAAAGTGCTGGGATTATAGGCAGGAGTCACTGGCCCTTTCAATCTGAACACTCATGTTCTTCCGTTTAAGATTTGGTCTCTGGGTTGGGTGCGGTGGCTCAGTCTGTAATTCCAGCATTTTGGGAGGCTGAGGCAAGAGGATTGCCTGAGCCCAGGGATTTGAGACCAGCCTGGGCAACTTGGTGAGACCTCGTCTCTACAGTAAATTACAAAAACTAGCTAGGCGTGGTGGCGTGCATCTATAGTTCCAGCTACTGGGAAGGCTGAGGTGGAAGGATCACCTGAGTCCAGCAGGTCGAGGCTGCAGTGGCCGTGAGCATGCCACTGCACTCCAGCCTGGGCGACAAGAGTGAGACTCAAAAAAAAAAGATTCGGTCTCAGAGTCACTCAATTCAGTTGCCATCTTCCTCCCTTTTGATCCCCCTTCCCCTCCTTCTGGAACAGCTACCACGTGGGCCTCCTGGCCTGGTTCCCCAGTCGGGTGGCTCCCCCTACCCTCCCGTTTCTGTCTCGCTCTCTTTTCATTTTACTTTCTGGGGGATTTTCTCAATTGTATCTTTTACCTTGCGGTTGAATTTTTTTATTTCTACTATAACATTTTTAATACCCCCAGGTATTTTTTGTTCTCTGAATTTTCCTTTGTTATAGCATCCTCTTTGTGTTACACAGTTGCGATGTCCTTTCTTACCTTTCTGCAGATACACTGGTTTTCAAAGTTCTGCTCCTGGTATAGTTTCTGCCATCTCCAAGTTGTGTTTTTCTGTTTGATGCTCTCATTTTCTTTGACCGAGGTCTTCCTTGGCTGTGTGGTCATCTTTACTGGTGTGCTGACATTGACGAGTGGAACTCTGGATGGCAGATGGGACTTCCTATGTAGAGTTTGCTGCCTATAAGCTTCCTGGCATGGAGTGGCAGGGCAGTTTAGTTAGGAAACCTCTGATGGCATCGAGTATGAGTCTTTCTTCTTGGGGGCATCATGTTCCTGAGAAAAGAGGCTTCCGTATCCTGGCTGGGGAGGGTGAAGGCCTAGATGCCAGCATTCTAAGAGGCGAGAGGAGAAAAGTCTGGGGTCTCAGCATCTAGCATGCGTTTGTTTCCTCACACTCCGATTTTCAGCAAGGTATCCCTGTCTTTACTGGTGCCTGGTGTTTCCTAGTCCAGGGATTCCTGTTTCACCCAAGAGAGAACAAACTCATCTTTTGCCAGGGTGGTGAGGACAGTGTCCTTGGTCTTGCAGGTCCAGGAACTTGGCTGGTCAGCTCCTGGGAGCTGCCTCCCGGGAAAAAACACCGGAGCCTGGAGTGTTTGGCAGAGGTCAGCTCACACCAGGTGCCTTTCTTGGGACTCAAGTACTTGTGTCCTTCTTCCAGGAGCTTCCTTGCTTGCACCAGGCCTGAGTGAGGGGTCAGAGGTTGCCCGGTAGTCATGGAATCATCGTCAAAGAAGGAGTCACCTCTGAGAGTCCATCCCAGCCAGTGAGGTCCAGGCTCTCTCTGTGGTCAGGTGACTGGGTCTCCTGAACCTGGATCTTTCTCTCTGGTGCTGCTAGACAAAGACTTTGGTCTTCTCTTTGGGCTTCTTTCCAGGATGCTATTCAGACCAGTTGTAAATACTTATCTCCTGTCATAAACATCAACACCCTATGGGAATGGCGCCTGGCCCATAGGAAGCACTATGTCAGTACACATTATTATTATCCCTGCCACTCCGGCTATGGTTTTATTTCACCAGCACTTGAACATGAATAAAGTTACTAGTCCTACTCAACCCACTGTCGAGTGGGAATTTCCTGCTTTTTTGGGATTACTTGTACAGAACGTGAACCTCAGCTGCCCTTTTGTTTTTAAGGTTTGAGGTGGAAACTTAGGGGTGCATTTCAATACAGGCCCCCATGCTGGCATAGATCATTGGGGTATAACACATATGAGGCCTAATTTAATTTCCTCTGTAGCTTATTATTTATTTCTTCCTTATTCTAAACCAGCCGTCTTAGTCTGCATTTTTTTTTATAGAGTCAGGGTCTCACGTTGTTGTCCAGACTGGAGTGCAGTGGCATGATCACAGCTCACTGCAGCCTCAAAATCCTGGACGCAAGTGATCCTTCCATTTCAGCCTCCCAAGTAGCTAGAACTACAGTTGTGTGCCACCATGACTGGCTAATTAAAAATTTTTTTTGGTAGAGATGAGATCTCACTATGTTGCCCAAGCTGGTCTCAAACTTCTGGCCTCAAGAAATCCTCCCACCTGGCTTCCCAAAGTGCTGAGATGACAGGGGTGAGCCACCATGCCCAGCCTGCAATTTTGCAATATAGTGGGTTCACATGTTTAAAGACGATAGGCCAGATCCATTATTAAAGAAATATTTGGCCGGGCTCAGTGGCTCAGCCTGTAATCCCAGCACTTGGGAGGCCGAGAAGAGTGGATTGCCTGAGCCTGTGAGTTTGAGACCAGCCCGAGCAACTTGGCAAGACCTTGTCTCTATAATAAATCAAAAATTAGCTGGGCATAGTAGCACGCACCTGTAGTTCTGGCTACTTGGAAGGTTGAGGCAGAAGTATCGCCAGAGCCTAGCAGGTTGTGTGCCACCATGCTGGGGTGGCTGTGAGTATGCCACCGCACTCCAGCCTGGGCGACAGAGTGAGACTCTACCTCAAAAAAAAAAAAAAAAAAGAAATAGTTATTGGTTCTGCAACCAGTGAATTGCTTTAGAACCTTGCTACTGTCATGTCCTCACTGACCCGGGGACTTTGTATAGGAAGCAGGGTGTCTCCAAGGGCTCTCCTGTCTATTCCTGGTTTCCAGGGACACCTCTCCAAGTGGAACCAACCTGGCTCCTTGTTTTCCCCATTCCCTCCTCTCTTCCCTGGCTGCCCTCGTAGCAGTCACTTAAGATTATTGTTTCCTGGTCCCCAGCCTGATCTTGGACACTCTCTCATGATCCTTCCACAGGAATCCGATGGCCACATCCTTCACGCCCAGCTGAATTCATCTGTTACTAGGGGCAGTTCTTGCTCTCTGTGTCCTACGTAGGACACTATTATTTGGGGCTGCCTCTTGTTTCCTCCTTGGCAAGTTTGGCACCTTCCAGAAGCTGTATCCAGGTCCAGTCCCTTATGTCCTGGCAGAGATGCCTGGGGGCTGGTGTGACCCCTGCACACTCCTGCTAGCCTCTGAGCGAGTCCCTGATTCTGTGGCATAGAGGGTAATGGCAGTCAGGACTGGGAAGCCTGGCCTGCGGGGGGCGGGGTCCTTCTGCAAAGCTAGCATCCTCAACAGAGGCCTGGTTTTCGTGTACCTGGAAGCGAGCTCTCCCCCGCTGCCCGTAGACATGCAGTTTGCTCTATATCCTGGGTGTCCTGGGCCCCACAGATCTTGTCTTCCACCGTGTTTTCTGTCCCCAGGAAGGAGGCCCAGGGTCCTCTGTCCTAGAGTCTCAACTGTGTGGCCAAGTGGAACCCACAGCCACGAATGAGCCTCTGCTCAGATTGCTGCAGACCATCAAGGACCTCTGGAATACACCTGGCACCAAGGACATCCTCCAGCTGGCTCTCACGTCAGCTTTTGCCCTGATGGGACTGTCTCCTCTCCATGGGTTGAGTGTGACGTGAGCAGACACGGACGGAGTGTGTCAGCATGCAAAACTCTGGTTGCAGACGGACTCCCCACCTCCATGTGGCATTCATAGAAACGTTCCTCCCTGACTCATTTTTCCCCCCGGTTTCTAGGAAGGAGCTTCTCTGAAATACTGTCATGGTCATTATTTCCTTTTTGTTCCACTTTGCTTTTTTCCATGGTTACAGACACACCCATTCTCAAGCAGAAACAGTGGTTCCGAGAGACCTTTGATCACCTCTTTGCCCTCGCCAATTCTGCAGAAGCTGGAGATGCTGGTGTTCATTTGGTGTCTGGGTAAGTGAGGAAATTGGAAGTTATTTTATCTATCTATCTATCAATAATCTATCTATCGAGTAGGGATCTCACTCTGTCCCTAGCTGGAGTGCAGTGGCACAATCATGGCTCACCACAGCCTTGACCTCCTGGGCTCAGGTGATCCTTACCCTTCAGCCTCCCATGTAACTGAGACTACAGGCATGCACCACCATGCCCATCTAATTTTCTGTAGAGATGAGGTCCTACTATGTTGCTCAGACTGGTCTCGAACTCCCAGACTCAAGCAATCCTCTCACTTCAGTCTCCCAAAGTGTTGGGATTACAGGTGTGAGCCACCGCACCAGCCTGAAGTTATTTTAGAATTCAGAACGAGCTTAACAAATGTTAGAGTTCAACAAAAAATATTGAGTATCTGTGGGGAGCAGAGTGCTGACTTAGAGGCGGGAGGATTTAGACAGAACATTATAGGCTTTACTCCAAAGAACCTAAGAAAGACACATTGTAGTATTCGACTTTTAAATAATAAACAATCATCACATTTCTCATCACAAATACTATTTTGAGTTTCCTCAGGGTCCATGCAGTGATTTGCAAATTTGGCTAAAAAAAGACATAGAGCTTGGGTGGAGATGGTGTGGCTGATTGGAAAGCAAACAGGTGTGATATTGGAATGGGCCCAGAGACCTGAGGGATAGAAACATTTTGTTTATTTGGTGTCCTTGGACAATGAATGAGATGTTCCAAATATAGGTTACTAACTTACCTTGTGAAGCGTCACTTGGAAAAAAAATTCTGAAATGGTCAGCACACTTCGAATTGATTTTTAATATCTGATTTCAGGAGACTTGTATAATTAAATACCAGTTTGATAATACACCCTATTTAACATTTCTAACACAGACTAGCACTTAAAACATGACATGCAGTCGGGCTCGGTGGCTCAGCCTATAATCCCAACACTTTGGGAGGCTGAGGTGAGTGGATCGCCTGAGCCTGTGGGTTCGAGACCCGCCTGGGCAGCGAGACCTCATCTCTACAATAAATAAAAAAATCAGCCGGGCGTGGTAGTGCGCACTTGTAGTTCCAGCTACTTGGAAGGCTGAGGCGGAAGGATCACCGGAGCCCAGCAGGTCGAGGCTGCAGTGGCCGGGAGCGGCCACTACACTCCAGTCAGGGCGACAGAGTGAGACTCCAACTCAAAACAAAAAACAAAAAAAAAACCATGACATGCTGCAAAGTCCATAATTTTGTCCTTCTTTACAGTTGCATAATATTCCATCATGCACATGGACCACATTTTCTTTATCCAGTCCACTTTCAGTGGGCAGCAGGATTGGTTCCGTGTTTTTGCTATTGTTAATAATATGTTAAAATGTCTTATTCCCTCAATCACAAACATTTGACATTCAGCAACAGAATGATCTGAACCCAAGAGAATGAAAAAAATATTTTTCTTCTCTTTGTGTTTATAGGAAGTAAATTTTTAAAATGCTTTAGAGAATGTTACATGGATTTTACAAGGAATATGTGATTTCACAAAACTTCAGGAAAATGTTCTGCTTAATATGTTTGAGTTGGCAGATATTCCAGAGCATTCCTACGGAGGAAGTGCCGTATTGGGCTGATGTGGTTCTGGGATTTCGAAAGATGACCGAAGCTGAGCTGAAGAAATTCCCCCGGCACATGTATGGTCAGGCCTTCACAACCCTGAAATGCGAAGGCCCTGCCTACCTGCCCTGGCTGGAGAAAAGGTTTGTTGAGATGCTCTCTGCTGCTTTCTTGATCCGTCATAGCCATAAATAACGTCATAGCTATTCATCAGGTCTATGCTGGAGAGTCTCTGTCAGCCCTCAGGGCTCTTATGCGGTGTGTTTCGTTACGCACACGTGGCAGGGCTTCGTAAAACAACCTGCAGGTGGTATATGTGTCTCAAGGACTAGTCACACCATGCTCATGGTCGCACGTCCGTCTCTGCGTTCAGTGATTGATTTGTGCCCAGGTAAAATCCACTGATTGAAATGGTCCCTTGGTTTTCCTCATCTGTAAAGTGGAGCAGTTTGGAGAAGATGAGATGTCTTATGCTTATGACAAATGATTTTTGAATTTGTTCTCATTTGTGGTGAAGAAAAACACTTCATTATTTGCCTTTGTCATAAATAAGAACTCTAAAGCTAAGAGCTTCTCCAAGTTATGTAACTGCTTCTCCACTAAGCTCAGTCTATCATGCCTTTGGCTTAATTTCCAGAATTCCCTGCTTCCAGTTAGTTAGGAAACACTTGAGAACATCTTTATTTGAGACACATCAATACATCTGTCTTTAGTTTAGTCTGGACATTGCAGGCATGTTGAGGGCTGTGAAACATTGGTCTTTTTAATTCCCAAATCTGTGTATTTGGTAGATGAATAGGAACAAGGTGAATTATTGTGTAAATGTTGGAAAGGTGACTTGAAGTAAGCAGCAACAATGATGATGTGGTCTCAGATGCAGGTTATAGAATAATTGGTTCATATAATTAATTAGTTACACAGTTCTTTATTGAACACCTGCATATACTGGCAGTATACTAGGAGCTGGTCAAAAAAAGATAGTGCCAGGCGCAATGGCTCATGCCTGTAATCCCAGCACTTTGGGATGCCAAGAGGGGAGAATCATCTGAGCCCAGGAGTTTGAGACCCACCTGGGCAACACAGTGAGAACTCATCTCTACAAAAAAATTTTTTAAATAGCCACTGCACTCCAGCCTAGGCAACGGAGTGAGACTCCAACTAAAAAAAAAATTAAGCCGGGCTCGGTGGCTTAGCCTGTAATCCCGCGCCTTTGGGAGGCTGAGGTGAGTGAGTTGCCTGAGTCCGCGGGTTCGAGACCCGCCTGGGCAGGCGAGACCTCATCTCTACAACGAATCAAAAAATTAGCCGGGCGTGGTAGCGCGCGCCTGTAATTCCGGCTACTTGGAAGGCTGAGGCGGAAGGATCTCTTGAGACCAGGGGGTCGAGGCTGTGGTGAGCTGTGATCATTCCACTGCACTCCAGCCTGGATGACGGAGTGAAACCCAGACTCAAAAAAAAGGGTAACATATAATTGCTTTTGAAAAGAAATATATGTCTCTTGGAGGTGACTCTGTGTGTGTTTATATATTAACTGAAAATTATAGGAGCACATATGGTGAAGGTTAAGTACAGACTCACGCAGGTTAGAACAGGAGCATAAGGGAGAAAGCTTAGACCTTCCAGACACCTGTCCATGACCTCATAATAGATTTTCTGTAGCTTCACGAGTGCTCTTCTCACCTTTACCTCCTAGCAGTTTGTAGAAGATGTTTTGATTTTGTGAGTTCCAGTCTCATAAAACCCACGCTCCTGTGCCTGGCTTACTGGCCTGTGAGTCACTCTTGGTATGCTACATTTGGGCTTGTGTACATTAGCCAATCCACGAACACTTTGAAGTGACATGTGATGGAGTTGCCCACTGGTCAACACGCACATTTAGCATCACCAGCTTTTCTGAGTGACAATGATGTGCATTGTTGCATTTTTTCCTTGATATTGTAAACATGACTCAAAATAGAAAACCAGAAATGTTGATGCTAGAGAGATAAGAAGTTGAGGTATTAGACACCTTATCTTAATGCAATTCTGATAAGTGAAAATATATGGTTGGTTCCATGTTTTTGCTATTATGAATAGTGCTGCAAGAAACATGCGTGTACAGGTATCTTTTTGGTAGAATGATTTGAGTTTCTCCAGGTTTATTCCCAGAAGGGGTATTGCTGGGTGGTATGGAAGGTCGATTTTTAGATCTTTTAGGAATTTCCACACTGTTTTCCACAGAGGCTGTACTAGTTTACACTCCCACCAACAGTGTAGAAATGTTCCCTTTTCCCTGCTCCCTTTCTAGCATCTGTTGTTTTTTGAGTTGTTAATCATGGCCATCCTGACTGGAGTTATGCAGTATCTCAGTGTGGCTTTGATTTGCATTTCTTTGATGACTGGTGAGCCTGAGCATTTTTAAATGTATCTGTTGGTTGCTCATGTCTTCTTTTGAGAATTGTCTTTTCATGTCTTTTGCCCACTTTTTTTTTTTTTTTTTGAATTGGAGTCTCAGTCGCCCAGACTGGAGTGCAGTGGCCGCTCCCGGCCACCGCAGCCTCGACCTGCTGGGCTCCGGCGATCCTTCTGCCTCAGCCTTCCAAGTAGCTGGAACTACAGGCACGCGCTACCATGCCCGGTTAACTTTTGATTTATTGTAGAGATGAGGTCTCACCAAGTTGCTCAGGCAGGTCACGAACCCGCAGGCTCAGGCAATCCATTCACCTCAGTCTCCCAAAGTGCTGAGATTACAGCCTGAGCCACCAAGCCCGGCTTTTGCCCACTTTTTAATAGGGTTGTTTGTTTTTTTCCTTTTGGCACATTTGAGTTCCTTGTAAATCCTGAATGGAATATTACACAGCAATAAAAAAGGACAAAAGTACGGACTTCGCAGCAACTTGGATGGATTTAGAGTCTATCATACTCAGTGATCTATTACAGAAACTAAGAACTCAGTACCACGTGTTCTCACTCATAAGAGGACCCTGACATTTATCATAATACTGCAAGAAAGGGACTGGCAGTATCAGGACACTGCCAGGGGAGGGAGGGAGCACATAACATCAATAAGGGTGCCTGATTTCACGCTCCTGTGCCTGGTTCACCGGCCTGTGATCCCAGCACTCTGGGGATCAAAGTGGGTATCAAAGGTAGACCCAAACTTCACCTGTTTGTAGACCACTTATGCACCTCATTCTGACTCGTACTCCACATCTTTAAAATAAAATACAAGAAAAGAAAAGAAAATTATTAGACATGCCCAAAAGTGGCGGAGCTTCACTCTCATTGTGATCATAAATTTTTTTCAATATGACCAAAAAAAAAAACCCAAAATGGAAGAACATGTCCAAAATGTTGTATATATAGCCAGGCGTGGTAACGCACACCTGTAGTTTCAGTTACTTGAAAGGCTGTGGTGAAAGGATCACCTGAGCCCAGCAGGTTGATGCTGGGGTGGCCATGAGTGTGCGTGCCACTGCACTCCAGACTGGGCGACAGAGTGAGATTCCAACTTCAAACAAACAAACAAAAAATGTTGTATATAAAGGTTGAGAGGTCATTAAGAAGTTTTTAAATTGTGGATATTTTTAGTTGCCTGGGACTGAGGTTTCATTATGACCCCATGTTTTTTTTCTGGCCCTCTTATTTGGCTTTTTGTCTCTGTGATTAGGAAGGTCTCTAGAAAACCTGACTAGAGCCCTGTGGCCTCTGGTAGATCAGGAAGAGGCAAGCGAGAGAGAACCTGAGAGTGCTGTTGTCACTCAGAAGGACTGTCAAGGTTGGGTCAAGGGATTCTCTGTGCAGGGGTGACCAGGGTGTCTGCCAGGAATGGTGACGGACACAGATAAGGGAAGTATGGGGGGGGCTCTGATAAACCCTTTATCAACATTCCCAGCATTTTGTTTATCATCTTCTCTTTACATATATATACATTTCAGAACCATTTGAAAGTGAGTTGCAGGCACCCTGCCCCGTTATTCCCAAATACTTTCATGTTTTAGATACTTGTTCTCAGAACAAGTGTATTCTCTTAAATAAACAGTATTATGACAAAACCCAAGATCCTTATGTTGCTACAACACTATAATCTGTGGGCCTGGTTCATATTTTGTCAGTTGTTCCAGTCACGTTCCTTACAGCTACACATGTTTATACATCTTTTTTCTGGTCCATGATCCAATCCGTGATCACATGCTGCCTTCTGTCTTTGGGTCTCTCTAGTTTCTAGTCTGTCTTTGTCTTTTATTACCTTTTCAACTGTGAAGAGTTCAGACTGGCTGTTTTGTAGGGTGCCCCTAATGGGGTTTTGTCTGATACTTCCTCGGGATTGGATTGGGGCTCTGCATTTTGGGTGGCAATGCCCTAGAAGTAATGTCAAGTCCTTACTGTGCAGTGTGTGGAGGCACCAAAGTCAGCTTGTCTTCTTACAGGGGATGCTGGTTTTTCTCACCTGGTCTGCCAGGCATCTCCAGTGTGCCATTACTATTTCTCCCCTTTGTTTTGTTTTTGTTGTTGTTGTTTTGTTTTTTGAATTGGAGTCTCACTCTATCACCTAGGCTGGAGAGCAGCGGCACACTCACGGCCACCCCAGTGTCAACCTCCTGGGTTCAGGCGATCTTTCCGCCTCAGCATTCCAAGCAGCTGGAACTACAGGCGTGCACTACCACGCCTAGCTAATTTTTGATTTATTGTAGAGATGAGGTCTTGCCAAGTTGCCCCGGCTTGTCTCGAACCCTCAAGCTCAGGCAATCCACTCACCTCAGCCTTCCAAAGTGCTGGGATTACAGGTTGAGCCTATTTCTCCCCTTTGTAATGACCAAATGCTTTGTTGTGATATACCTGAGACTATGTGAACATCCTGTTTCTGTGAAGCTAGTACCTATGAAACTCATACTTTCACTTACTAGTTTGAGTATTCGTTGATGACTCTTGCTTGAATCAGTTATTACTGTGATGCCTGCCAAGTGATCATTCTGTAACTCCATTTACATTTAGTGCTTTCTACTATAAGGAAGAACTTTTCCTCCTCCTATATTTATTTATTCAATTATTTATATCAGTTCAAACTCATTTTAGACAATGGATTATAATACACTACTCATTATTTATTTTGATGTTCAAGTTGTCTGAGATTTGGTGCATGGGATCCCCTTCAGACTGCTCC